GTCTTGGATGCCAATGGTGGTCCAACACCATATTAGGAAATTATATTGTTCTTTTGCCTGGTGTTTCCATAATTTAGACCAGCCCCTGTATATATTTATTTTAATTTGCCCTCTTTATTTTTTTAATTAAACCTACAAAGGGAGCAGTCACGTAAACAATTTATTACACATACAATGTATCCTCTAACAGGAGAGATACCCAGGATACCCCCAAAACATGGGGGGGGGGGGGGGGTTTGGCACAGTTTCTGACTCTTTAAAGCAAACCTATAGCCAGGCTATAATGACATTATATTACCATTAAACTGTCCAATATATGTTTAATTGCTGGCAAAATAAAGTTGTATAAAATCATCCAAAGCATTTCAGAGGCAACACCACTGCCCCTTCATTAAACCACAACACAGGATAAAACTTGAATGGAACACAGTGACTTCACTAACAATCAAACAATTAAATGTGTCTAGAGTCTTTACTTTAATGCTCCTGTTTGTATTTCTGTGGTTTCTATGGTTTGAGCAGCACAAACCTGTCAGAGAGTTTTACACCTTCTGCGCTCTTTAAAAAAAAAAAAAAAAAAGTTTTGGCTGGAGCTGGGCTTAAAGTGTTACTAAACCCAGGACCCTGCATTCACTATATCTGGTCTCCCTGGACCCTGCATTCATTATATCTGGTCTCCCAGGACCCTGCATTCACTATATCTGGTCTCCCCGGACCCTGCATTCACTATATCTGGTCTCCCAGGACCCTGCATTCACTATATCCGGTCTCCCCCAGACCCTGCATTCACTATATCTGGTCTCCCCAGATTCTGCATTCACTATATCTGGTCTCCCCGGACCCTGCATTCACTATATCTGGTCTCCCAGGACCCAGCATTCACTATATCCGGTCTCCTCAGACCCTGCATTCACTATATCTGGTCTCCCCGGACCCTGCATTCACTATATCTGGTCTCCCCAGACCCTGCATTCACTATATCTGGTCTCCCCAGATTCTGCATTCACTATATCTGGTCTCCCCGGACCCTGCATTCACTATATCTGGTCTCCCCCCGGACCCAGCATTCACTATATCTGGTCTCCCCAGATCCCCAGATTCTGCATTCACTATATCTGGTCTCCCCGGATCCTGCATTCACTATATCTGGTCTCCACGGACCCTGCATTCACTATATCTGGTCTCCCCGGACCCTGCATTCACTATATCTGGTCTCCCACAGTACACACAACATGGAAGTGCAATTATTTTAGTAAATATAAACTGCTAAATATCTTTTCTCATCAGCAGTTAGAGCAGTCTTGTGACTTCAGCAGAGCACTGGTTAAAGCTTGTAGGAGTTTTCTTTCTGCTCTAGAAGGATGCAGAACCCACTGTCTGGACAGTGATGATTGGCCCTGTGCTGATTTCATGCACTCTCCCAAAAAAAAAGAAAACCTAGCAATACACACCAAACTGAGCATGTGCATGTGGCTAAGGGTTCAGTCTGTCTTATCAGGAGATAAGACATGGACATTTGAACAAAAGGAGGGGCAGAGAAGACAGGATCAAATGGCCTTGTTACACAATGCAGAGGATTAACCCCTTAGGTTCCACAGTGAGTGTAACAAGCATGCTTTACTGCATATATAGACTGATTTTACTGTTGTGGGTTTAGTAACACTTTAAATTCTGTATGCTCAGAGATACTTGCATATATATAGGACAGCTTGGGAAAGATGTATCCTGAGATATCTCATGACAGTGAGAAAAAAAAGTAGTCTATTGGTAGGACAGCAACTAAATTGAACGCTGACCTCAAAATAACCACAAAATAAAATTACAGAAAAAAAAAATCTTTTTCGTCCTTAGGGGATTTCCTTTGTTCAATTTTAATAATTTGGCTTCAATGAAATATACAATACTGTATATTCAAATAAATTTGACAATATTTCTTGGTTTTGTCCATGAATGACTTGTGTTATAAATGGCGCTTAAAGAGTTTCTCTCACCAACTGAAAGAGTAGCAGGCAAAAGCACAGACAAATCAACAAAACAACCATTTTAAGTCCTTACTCAAAGTGGTTTCCCTTTCGATATATATATTTTTTTAATTCGCTAGCAATGTGCCTTTGATCTTCCTAGAAAATGTGACTGCTCCAGCAAAGTCAGTTCTCAAGCACAACTCCCTCTCTCCTTGCACATCATAGATCTCTCCTCTTCCGTCTATTTTCTCTCTGTGCTGGCCAAGCTCCTCCACCTCTCCACTTACCACCTTACAAAGCTTATTACGTAGCTGCTGGGGGAAGAGAGGACAACACCATACAATATCACTTGAGTGACAGCTCTGAGTAGTATTGGACAGCTGACATCACATGTAAGATGTCGGGGCCCAGAACTCTCTGGGTTTTTTTATGTCTACACCAGCCTTTCTCAACCAGGGTGGCCAGGCACCCTGGGGTGCCTTGAGGTTTCTTCAGGGGTGCCTTGGCAAGATGTCTAAGAATTGCCCAAAACGTGTATACAAGCATGCGGGTGGAAGAAGCCTGCCTTTTAGTTACACAAAGCCACAGGTTTTCATTGTGCACCATTACGATCTTCTAGCCACCAGCATTCTGACAACCAATGACATCATCAGTTGATAAGGAGGATGTCAGCTGCCTGCACAGCATCCTAGTTTGACCCTCCCCTGCCCCTCTCCATCAGAGCTGGGGTCACATTAGCTCAGTGATGGAGAAAAACTGAGGTAGAAGAGAAACATTGGAATACTAGTCAGTACCAGGGTGAAAATGTGTATTTTGCTTTGGAAGAATAAATCACCTCTAATGTGTGGATGTTGCTGCATTATAGGGCAGCACAGTGGCTAAATGGGTAGCACTTCCACCTGGCAGTACTAGGGTCATTGGCTCAAATCCCAACCATGGCACCACCTGCCTGGAGTTTGCATGTTCTCCCTTGTGCCTGCGTGGGTTTCCTCCGGGTACTCCAGTTTCCTCCAAGACTCCAAAGACATGCTGGTAGGTTAATTGGCTCCTGTCTAAATTGTCCCCAGTATGTGTATGTATGAATGTAAGTTAGGGACCTTAGATTGGACACCCCTTGAGGGATAGGGACTGATGTGAATGTACAATATACATGTAAAATGCTGCGTAAATTGACAGCACTATATAAGTACCTATAATAAATAAATCAATATAAAACTATTAGAATAGTTTTTCACATTTTATAATGGGGTGCCTCAAGACTGTTCATAATTTTAAAGGGTGCTTCAAGACTATTCATAATTTTAAAGGGTGCCTTGACCGAAAAAAAAGTTGAGAAACACTGGGCTACACAAAGGAGACTTTTAAATAACATGCATAAAAAAGCTACAATTTCTGGGGAAATTGTGTGAAGTGTTCTTGCCTCCACCAGTAGCCTACAACAGGAGTGGGCGTTGAAACACCTCAAATACTCTCTACTGTAGAAAACTTATTTCCAAACCTTTAACCAGAAGCCGGCCAAACTGTCACCAATTCAAAATTAGATTTCAAATAGGGCAGAGAAGAGCGGTTAAAAACAAACTGCTCCAAATTGCTCACTTCACTGGTGTCTTCAAATGGTCGTAGTTAAAAACTATAAATCTTACAGCAAAGAGCTTTATATTGTGAGAATCACAAGACCCAGACCTACATTTTGATGCATAGTATGTCTATGAAATATTAAAAATGAAGGCACAGTCGCAGTTTAGAAATTGCCCTTCAAATTTCAGGTGGCTAGAGTGGAGTTTAAATGAATATCAATGGGGGGCGTGAGTTGCAAACAAATGGTCATATTGTAAAAACTATCAGGACTATGGCTTAGCCGTAGACATTTTTAGTGGCAGCAGGGATAGCTGAACGTTTTGATATAAGATTTGTGTAGGTGGGCTTGAAAATGAGGGAGTGATGGCAGTTTAGAAATCATGTCCTGATTTTTCAGCTCACACTCTAGCTTTTGTCAGCTCCCACTCTAGTTTTGAACATTCCGCCATTCATTCCTATGGGACCAATTTCATCACAAAAACGCCGATATTTCGTGAACCATTCGGCAAAACGTTCCACAAAGTAATAGCACACCAATCGGGAACAATCCGCACGTTTCGGTATATTACTGTCTATGTAGTGTAAAAACTGTGGGAGGAGTTAGGGTGGTAAATTTGGCTATAATAATAAGAATATATATGTGAGATAACAGTAAGTGGTCTTGCCATGCAAGAACACTTAAATATGTTAAATGCACATATATTTATTTTCTTGAGAAGATTGCAGCTGAAATTAATGGCTCAATGACAGAAAAACTCTGTAAAGTACATAACTCTCTACTCTTGAACTTCTTTTGTCTGGAAAAAAGTTTATTTTACCGTTCTGTTAATTAAGTATAGATAAGGAGAGATCCAGGAGCATGAACATTAATGTACTGTATTCTCTTTAACCACTTCATGTCCGGACACTTTTATCCCCTTCCTGTCCAGGCCAATTTTCAGCTTCCATTGCTGTCGCACTTTAAATGACAATTGCGCGGTGCAACACTGTACCCATATGATTTTTTTTTTTTGCATTTTTTTGAGACATAAAACTTTATTTTGGTGGTATTTATTCACCACTGGGATTTTTATTTTTTCTGCCATATAAATGAAAAAGTCCAAACATTTTGAAAAAAAAACTGTTTTTCTTATAAAATTTTGTAAATAAATATTCTTTCTTCATAAATCTTGTCCAAAATGTATTAAATTATCTTTTTAGTAAAAAAAAATAACCCAAATTAGTTTATAAACAAAAATTATAATTTTGTTATAATTTTTGAAATTTGTTTTACATTTTTTTTTTTTTTTTAATATTATTATTTATTTTATTTTTTTTTAGCATACTGTCACCCTAGCAGTACAGTGTCACCATAGTGACACTGTACTACTTGTGGGGGGTGAAGAAGATTTTTTTATTTTTTTTTAAAGGCTGTAAAAGCAATTATTTATCCTTCTCTCTGGCTGCATTCTTGCAGCCATTGAGAAATACTGTGAGAGCTGTGATTTGTGAATAGCCTTGTACCATGTGATCTCTGTGATCATTCACAGATTTCACTAGTAGTAAGCAATGATGTCAGAAGGGACATCTTGCTTACACCTATTCATGTGATCATTTATTGGCCAATCAGTGATCATATGATCGGGACCTCACTCAGAGGTCCCATACAGCGATCGGTGCGCGCACAGTGAGCGCGCACAATCCAAAATGGCAGGCGCTGTTTATGAATGGCAACCCACCCCTGCACTGCCACCGTCCGACCGTTTATATACAGCGGCCAGATGGGAATTGGTTAAATAATGGTGGTCTTGTTGTATAAAGGAAGCTAAAGCTGAAATTTAGGTATGCTAATTTTTACATAGTTACACTGTTCCAACCTGGACTAACGTAAGTATGTATGTGTCACACCCGTGGGACCCTCATGGAAGCTGGAAGTCACTGTAGTAGGCCCTGCTACTACAGTGATCACTGCTAGCTCCTGTGAACTTCTTTAGTCTAGGAAAAAGTTTATTTTACCATTGTGTTAATGAAGTAAAAATAAGGAGAGATCCAGGAGCATGAACATTAATTTATACTCTTTATTACCCCCCCCTGGGCAATAGGGGATCATGGGGCCCCTGTATCCTTGCCCACACTCAAAGCACACTCAAAAAAGCCTATGAAAAAGGTACCAGGGGCATCTCATGGGGCCCCCTACCAGGGGCGGACTGACAACTCATGGGGCCCCCGGGCAATAGGGGATCATGGGGCCCCTGTGTCCTTGCCCACACTCAAAGCACACCCAAAAAAGCCTATAAAAAGGTACCAGGGGCATTTCATGGGGCCCCCTACTGACCACGGGCCCTCAGGCAGTGCCCAAGTGGTCGAATGGTCAGTCCGCCCCTGCCCCCTACTGACCCTGGGCCCTCAGGCAGTGCCCGAGTTTCCAAATAGTCAGTCCGCCCCTGCTTGTTGCATAAAGGAAGCTAAGGCTGAAGTTTAGGTATGGCAATTTTTACATAGTTACACTGTTCCAACCTGGACCAATGTAAGTATGTATGTGCCATACCTGTGGGATCTTCATGGAAGCTGGAAGTCACTGTAGTAGGTCCTTCTACTACAATGATTGCTGCTAGCTTCTGTGCCGAGTGGCTGCCCTGCTGCACAGTGATAACAGGAGGTTGCTTGCTCAGCATGGGCAGCATATAGAGAAGAAAATTCCACAATCGATGGTATTATAGTAGACAATGCTGTAAGTGCATATGTAGATAAACTTGCTTCAACTGGTCACCAGAGTGCACACCACACACCAAAGTAACAAATGGAGACTTACCAGAAATGGAAGACCCCTTAATTAAAGGGGGTCCCAAGCAGCCAGGGACGGACTGACCATTTGGAAACTAGGGCACTGCCCGAGGGCCCGGGGTCAGTAGGAGGCCCCATGAGATGCCCCTGGTACCTTTTTCATAGGCTTTTTTGAGTTTGGGCAAGGACACAGGGGCCCATGATCCCCTATTGCCCGGGGGCCCCATGAGTTGTCAGTCCGCTACTGATCAGGTACTAAATATTTACTGGAGAAACAAGGATATAGAGTGAAAAAAAAACAGATATAAGGTTTCAATTTAAAGCATATGAATTAAAAAAATAAAATCAACCCAAAAACTATTATAGCTTCCCTTAAAAATTGTTACCAGATTCAAAGTAACTACTTTTTTTCTCTATGGCTTTCACTGTCGCTCTCAAGGTTTCTTACATCTCTCCTGTGAGAAATTTATTTACTAACAAAAAAAAAATGTTATTTTTAAAGTGTTTTGATTGCCAGCTTTTTTCTATAAAAAATAAAAAAGGTAAAAAAAATATATATTTTTTTGTTGTAGGGTTCCTTTCATCTCTAGAGATTGTTCCACAGCTCAAGGATACAGCATGGGGCTAAATATTCTTTCATATCACTTTGTAGCGCAGTGATGTTTTCTTTCACATATCCTCAGGGAGAGTAAAAAAAAGGCCCAAAAGGGACATCACAAAGTTTAGAGGCAACGGTTAGAAAAAAAAAATTGTAAACCTAATCAAAAGATTCCATCTGAAAAAATATTTATTTGAAGATGTTGTCCGTGCCTGGGACAACGTGAAAAAGAATATATAATGCAGAGAAAAGAGAATAACTAAGTAAATTTTAGCAATTTTTGAAACATGGGATTAAGCTGTTAAGTCCAAAAAATAAGAACATTTTTATCTAAATATTAGAATGCTTCTGGTGGGCCTAGAGGGTGCAGCCATTCTTGGGTTATGTGGGGTCAGGACAGACCTGCTACACCAGCTGTTTGTGGTTTACAATCACCCATATTTTTGCCCACTTAGGGCAAAGCAATAGCGTTGCTTTAATCGTCTACTCCTCCCCAGCAAATACTCACCATCCCTTCACTCCACCTCTGCTTCACTTGATGGAACCTGAAGAAGGAAGACCATGTGAGAGCTAAGGCTCTGATGAATAGTAACTTCTACGGGACTTTCCTTTTGGACCTGGTGGCTGAATACCAGCTCCATATGAACTAACAACAAGTTAAGCACTCTATGTGGTCAACATTTTGTGGACAGCTTACCATCACACTTACCTACCTGGTACACTAACAGTACTCTTCATTGGAAACATTTGGACTAAATAATGTGACTTGGAGCCTTTTCTCCTCACTCTGGCAGGCTAACAGGGCAACAGGGGAGCCAAGGGTAAGTGAGCGTAGACTGCAAATTGGGCCCAAGAATTAAGCTGGTGTGCTCCCTTACATGGACAAAGCAACAGGTTCACCTTAAAGCGAATCTTCTGCCTCCACCCCTCACAATTGTTTTTGTTAAACCCCTGCTTACCTGGGGTTGTCTTCTGCACAGTTCATATACTCACCCACCCAGCAGATCCAGTGTTGTTCCCCTGAGATCCTCTTCTGTTTTGCCACTGCTCAGTCCCACGCCGCCATGATTTGTTGTGATGTCATTGGTTGACACCAGCTTTTCCAGGTTCAGCTGGCATGCCTACTGATAACACCCTTCTAGGCCTGTTCCCTACTCCTTTACAGAATGGAGAAAAAAAATGCCTCCTGATATATGTAATGTGCATATCCCAGAAGGCAAAGTGTGCATAGTGAATATCATTTTCTTAGGTGAATGATGTGCACAGCAGGGCACAAAAAGCAGCGCTAACCACTTGACCTTCAGGTCTTTTTTTGACACTTTTGTTTAATGTAAAAATCAATATTTTTTGTTAGAAAATTAGTTAGAACCCCCAAACATCATATATATTTTTAAAAACAGAGGCCCTAGAGAATAAAATGATGGGTTTTGCAATTTTTTTTTACGTCACACAGTATTTGTGCAACAGTTTTTCAAATGCAATATGTTAGGAAAAAATACACTTTTTTAAATTTAATGCAAAAAAATACAATACATAACTCTGTTTCTTTGTAAAATATAAAAGGTGATGTGACACTGAGTAAATAGATACCAAACATGTCAAGCTTTTAAATTGCACGCGTCCGTGCAACGGTAACAAATGATGTAAATTTTACTATTCATAGTCGATGCTTTAAAAGCCTTTACAGGCTATCACTTTAGTTTTACAGAGGAGTTCTAGAGCTAGAATTACTGCCCATGCTCTGTCGTTCGCAGTGATACCCCACATGTGTAGGACGATCGTTGTTTGTGTGCGTATGTGCAGGACTGATGTTTGCCTTTGCGCATGCGCATGGGTGGGTGGGGGGGGGGGTTAGGCAGGTGCACTTTACATTTTTTTTAAATGAATCATTTATTTTATTTTTCATTTTTACGCTGTTGCTTTAATTTGTTTTTTTTTTGGATAATTTTTATTGCTGTCACACGGAATATAAACATCCCTAGTGACAGCAATAGGCACGTGACAGCTACTCTTCATGGAGGGATCTGGGGTCTATGAGACCCCAAATCCCCCCTCTGCACCTAAAAGCACTCAAAACACCAAGATCAGTGTTTTTGAATGCTTTATTTAAAAATGGGGCTGTTTAGTGCGTGAGTAAACTGGAATGGATTTCAGGTAATCGCTTCCGGGTTACTATAATGGACAGCAAGTTAGAACAAAGAGCAAATGTAAAATTTAGCTTGAAACTGGGCAAATCTGCCCCAGAAATGTTCGACAAGTTTATGGCGATGCTGCAATGAGTCGCTCGAGGTGTTTTAAGTGGCACACATGCTTCAAGAGTGGAATAACATCACTGATAGACGACGAGAAATCAGAAGACCTTCAACGAGCTCAACCCCCAAAAATGCCCACTTCTTGAAGATGAAGATCGAGCTCAAAGGTTGCCGTTTTGACAACATTGCAGAGAGTCAGTGATTTGCCCGAATTTCAATGTTTGCTCTTTGTTCTAACTTGCTGTCCATGATGAAATAACAGACATGGTAACGTATGTGGTCAGAATAACACCAGTTGCACAGCTCCCGATGTACACAGGATGATGTCTTTTGGCACACTGACTTAGGAAGGTAGGTGCTCCCTGTAACTGTGTGTGGAGCCATGTGACTATCATGGCAGCCATGGTATAATGAGGTTTGGTAAAAAAAAAAAGTGTTTTGGGAGAAGCAGACAAGCATAGCGACAGCTGAAGCTCACAGGCTTCAGCTGTCACAGTGCTATATAGTTTGTAAAAAAAATAATAGAAAGTATTACAAATGTGATTTAAAAACTATTATCTGTAAAATATTGAAAAATATATCATTTACATTGTGTTAATTTATAATAATAAAAAACACTAACTAGGTATTTATTAAAACAGTTCACCAAATAAAAGCCTTAAATGTTCTCAATGTGGGATGACACCCGAAAGCAAAAACTTTTTATACTTCAGCTTGCCAATTCTTAGATGTGATGGCTGTATTCATTTTCTTCTTTTTAGGCTTTCTTTCCTTTATTTCCAAAATTGGACTTGGGTGGGAGCAAGTCCATGGATACTCCAGCAATGTTAAGTAGTAACTTGAGGACACCTAGCTTTCCCCTAAAGATTGTGAGCACAGACCTTGCAGCAGCAAATGATGGGCTGAGCTACATTGGAACGCCATGAACAATGTCCTCTTTACACCGGTCTGTACTCACTAATGTCCTTGTGTTATTGGGTGCCTCCTTCCAATATCTTACAAACACTTCTGTGAAGATTTCAGACCAGACCCCAAAGAATAAGTCCTTCATTCAGCTACAGCAAAGTTTATCACACTAGGCCCCCAGTTGGGACTTTAAGGAACAAATGCAGACGTGCAGTCTTTTAGGTTGGTAACTCCTCCTTTACAAGAACTCTTCTGTTCCA